AGTGGAGAATCCCACATCCTGAAACTTGGTTCCATACACAAAGTTGTTTTAAACATTGTGTAAAATGGCCTACAGGCTACAGGTCTATAGTGTACAAGGAATAAATCTGGTGTTGGACTTAAGACCCATTCCTAGGTTATGTATGTATGTATGTATGTATGTATGTATGTATGTATGTATGTATGTATGTCTATCCATCCGTTCCAGTAATCCAAACTCAGAAATATTTGTTTCTCAGCAGTTCAGTAAAGTATCACTTAAGATGAACTCATGCTAATGCATACATATTAGTGTCACATGAATGTTCATATATGTGTGTGGTATGTATCTTAGAATGCTGTCTCAGGAATTCCTTTTTCCTTCCTTCCTTCCTTTCTTCCTTCCTTCCTCCCTTCCTTCCTTCCTTCCTTCCTTCCTTCCTTCCTTCCTCCCTTCCTTCCTTTCTTTTTCTTTCTTTTTTCAGCTTAAGGGGGGAGTTACTTCAGACCGAGGGGATAAAGTTAATAGGGGTAAGGTATGGCAGCAGGAGGCAGAAGCTGCTGGCCGAATTGCTTCAGAATTGAGCATCTTAAACTATGGCTCGACCCCATATGGGATCACGATTTAATGGCAGTAGGGTGTCACACAAATATGGCTACAGTAAAAGGTTTCAGGATAGACAATGACCAAAATGTGATATGTTAACTAAACATGTAACAAAACCAGGTGTTTGTGGCAGCACTCGCCGCAAGGCACGTGACACAGCCACTTGGTTTCGCTGCTCTGCAGCCTTGGCTCTGAACTCACAGCCCGTGTACTCTGCACGGCACATGCCTCACACCACCAAGCACCAGCAAGCACAGGCCGAAACCCCTGGGCTCAGACTATCAAATGTTATGAGGGATAGTGTTTTTTAACACAGTTGTCTGCTCTGATGGAAACACGTTGTTTACTTATGGAGAGCAAAGACTGCATATTTCCCTGCATCACTCCTCTACATGTGAGTATCATGTTAGCATACCTCTTGACTGGATTGTGTCAGTGTTCAAGTTTTAAAAAAATTTTCTATTTGAGTTACTGACTAGAGTTTTATAAAAGCTTGTTCAATATATTTTGGCTTGAGATGAGGACAAAATTCCCAAAATTTTTGGACATGGCCTTAAACATATTTTTTTTTGCCATTTTGTGCTTCATATTTATGCAAAGTGCCATTCTCAGCACCAACGATTATGAAACCAAAATATCAATTAACTCTTCATCCTGTGGCATCTTTTCACCCAAGATTTGATTCTTTGTGTAACAAGAAGCGAGTGCATCTGTCTCATCAGGATGCAAATTTAACATTGTCTTTAATAAGCACAAAAATTATATGTATAGAAGAATCATTTTAAATAAATTCCTTTTTGACTTGTTATCAGGAAATATTTGATTTGTGTATCTACACTGCTTACCTGTTTGCTCACATTGTGTGAAAATTTCTTGGGCATGAAAGGGTTGTAAGTGGAGATTTTAAGAAGCCCTGTCTCAGGAGATGTTTGGGAGAGATAGTGGAGAGTGTGTATGCATGCACACATTCTTGCATGCGTGTGTGTGTGTGTGTGTGTGTGTGTGTGTGTGTGTGTGTGTGTGTGCTACTGCAGTTCATGATAAACACTTTCTGAAAGCCTGTAGTCTGGCTAGAATTCATTCTGACATTTATTAAGCAGTCCTTTGAATATAATGGGAGTTTTTGGTTTCAAACCTTAGTTTCTCTTTCCTCTACTAGACAGGGAGCCCATGGAGGGCAGCAGATGTGTCCCATTTATTCCGGCATGCCCAGCACTCAGCAGCATGCTTTGTGGGCAGCTCTGGAACAAATGGACCAGAGTTCTAAATCCAGGCTCCTCTGATCTCCTCATCCCTGCTTGCTTAAGTGTAGATGTGATTTGAGAAACAGTCTTCCGATATCTAATCTCCCTCATGAGATTCTGTGACTCCATCTCGATGTCAGGGAGGGGGAGGTGGCATGAGGGACCCTCAAGTGGGAAATGGAATGTCCAAACTGACTCTGGAGAGTGAAAACTCCAGCTGACCTACAAGAGTTCTGTAATGAGCAAAAACCAATTTAAATGCAAATTGCCTATGGTGTGGTTAGGGAAAGGCTTCTAGCTGCAGACAAAGGCTGGGAAAACATACCTGGGACCACTTCACTGTTGGACGAGAAGGCTGCTTGATCCACTTAGGATTACCGTCCAAACTAATAACGAAGAGTCACATGCATTACTGGCAGCGTTCCATGGTGTCACATGGTGCTGACTAAGACGTGGGTGTCCCTAAGGGTACCAGTCTCCAGCCACTAGCCAGTGCCATTTACCGAGTCCCTAGCAGGTGTCAGGTGTCAGGCCGAGAACAAAGGGCAAATCCATGTACAGTGAACCGTCCTTAGAAGTTCAAAGCCTGGGGACAGGTTGGTGTTGAAGTCAATTCTGGCCACGATACTAAGATTTCATTAACTATTATGTGTCATGCCCAGGATGAGGAGCTGTATGCCTGTGTGTGTCTGTATATATATGTAGTTGTGAGGCAGGACCTGCTATTTCTCAGGTTTTATAGTGAAGGAAAGTTAGGTTTGGTGAGCATGAGAGAAGGTTGTGTGTGGTTTCTCTCCTGATGTTGCTTGGGCTAAGCACCTACCCCTCACTCTGCTGCGTGGTCTTGGGGTTTCTTTCTTTCCAGCTCCTCTCATTAATTCTTTGAGAATTCCATATAGTGTATTTTTGATCATATTTACCCCACTCCTCTCTCCTAACTCCTCTCAGATCTGCTCCCTCCTCCATATCCCCAAACTTTGTGTCCTTTTTTAAATTATTATTATTAGCCCATCAATTCTATTGTGTGCTGCCCATCTACTTCCAAGTGTGAGGCCATCAGCTGGAGCATGGTTCACCTACCAGGGGCCACACCCTTAAGGAAAACCATCTCTCCCTCTTCCAGCAGCCATTAGCTATTCAGAGCTCCTCCTGGTTGGGGCTCATGAACCACCCCCGACTCCGTGCTTGAAGGTTGTTCCAACCTCCTGTAGGGGACCTCCATGGCCATCAGTTCACTGGTACAGTGGTCCAGTTGTATGCAGACACTGTTTCACTGTGGTCCTCCCAGACCTCTGCCTCTTAACGTCTTTCCATCCCATTACTGAGATGTTTTGCTGTTGTCTCAGCCGTTGCACATGAATTTATTGATATTTTAATTATTGTCTGTGGACCCCCACAGACAGTGCCCTGCCGGCCACTCAGGCTGAGGCCTGGCAGGGCTTCTGGTCCATGGCCCCTGACTCTGTAACAGCTATGATATGCAGATTTAAATTAAATCTCTATTATTCTATTTATCAATAAAACTTGGGAGTCCAAGTTTGGGGTGAAAACCTGTCAGCTCAGAGAGACTGAGTAGCAACTAGCTGACTTGGCTTTTTGGCTGGAGACACTGCCAAGAGACAGGGCTCTTCCCTAGTCCCAAAACCAAAAAGGAAGTTCAAACTCTCGTTTCCTAGAGTTCCCCACCCTTTCCTTTCCGTGTGTCTTCTCTGTCCAAGTTGCTGGCTTCTCTATGGCCAATTCTGGTCAGCTAGATGCTGGCTCTGCCCCCTGATTCAAGCTTTAACTTTATTGGCAAGTGTTGGGAGTGTCAGAGGGCAATCAGAATATCCCACAACAGTCCCCAAGCCTTGGGGAGGGAGACTGTAACACAGATATCCCATTTGTGGCTGATCACCCTTCAGTGGCTTATTTTCCTCACTCTGATCCCGTGTGTGTTTCTGTGTTAACCACTGTCCACTGAACAAAAACACTTCTCTGATAAGGTCTGATCTATAAGTAGTCTTAGGATTTCTGATGATACTGTCACTCTAGCCTGACTTAGGGACTGGCATGAGACCCAAGCTTGTGCACCAAACTCTCTCTTCCTGTAATAAAAACAACAGGCAGGAGCCCAGTGTAGTAGCACACACCTGTAAACCCAGCATTTGGGAGGTGGAGGCAAGAGATTCAAAAGCTAGGGGTCATCCTCCTGACACAGTCTAAGTAGAGACTAGCCTGGGCTATCCAGACCCTGTTTTAAAAATCTTCAACCAAACCCACAAAGAAACTTGAGAAGAGAAACCCAAGGGCACTGAATGGCTGCAGCCAGCTTTTGTAATGGAAACAGAATGGAACTCACTGGTCCTGGCATTAACCATTTCCAACTCCCTAAGAAACCAATGTTTCTCTCTCTGTCAAGACCTGGCTTTTCAGCTTTTCCTTCTAATGTCCTTTCAATAGACCTTTATCTAATCCATCAGAGAATGCTTCTGGTGCTTGAAATGCCAATTAAAATACAAACAGTGCCATGTGAATGGGTGTTAGAGACTGTAGGCCTCCAGTTCACCGCACTCATCACTTTGTGTTGGACAAGCTGCGTCCTTCTTGATCGAGGCCCTTCTCCCAGGGTTGGCGTCTTTTCTGAGCACACTGCAGTTAGATTAATGATATTAGTTACTTTTCTCACTGCTGAATGCCTGACAGAATGGTGTGTCAGAGGAAAGGCTCATTATGGCACATGGCTTAGAGGATGCAGTCTATCATGGCAGGGAAGGCATGGTGGCATTGGGGGCATCACTGGCGTAGGGAGGGATGGAGACTGGTTCTCAGATGTCTTTCTCCTTTTCTCCCTTTCATTGAGTCCAGCACTGTGGCCCATGAAATGGTCCTGCCCTCATTCAGAGTAGGTCTTCCCTCCTCCAGGGTGCTTCAAACCCTTACGTAGATGTAATAGCATCCCTGTGCACATCCCCACATACGATGGAGATAATGTTACACTGTCTGTGGTTTTAGGGAGCAATGTCAGGAAAGAAAGAGTCTGCATTTTTAGTACAAATGCAATTTCTGTTGAACATTTTCAGTCAGACGTTGGTTAAGCCGGCAGACGCAGAGCCCACTAATCCAGAGGGCAGGCTGCTCATTTCATTGTGGAAACATTTGTCTAATGCCATCTTCTTCCATGATGTGCAGGAACCATGAAGATGAACATATGGAATCTACCAGTAAGCCTCCCAGTGATGCCAGTTTGCTGAGGCTGAAGCTGAGAAAATCACAGACAAATCGGGACAGTGGCCACTTGGTTAATGTGCAGCATATAGGAAGATTCAAACACCATTCACTTGGCCACTCTCAAAATGTATGTATGTATGTATGTATGGATGGATGGATGGATAGATGGATGGATGGATGGATGGATGGATGGATGGATGGGTGGATGGATGGATGAATGGATGGCTATATGGATGATGTGTGTATGAATACGGCAAACTGAAAACATGTCTTTACACCTCCTATGTGCCAGGTAGCCCACTGGGCAGAAACAGAGAATTCAAGGGAAGAAGTCCTACATCCTGGGTGCCATAGCATTGCTGCTCCGAACAAATTGCAGGGGCTCGGGGAAGGCAGCTGAGAAACCTGGGTGCAGTGCACAGGTGAGGCATATCCCCATCCATTTAGGAGAAGGGAATGGGGGGCAGCACTCCCCAAAGACTCTCTGATGACAGATGCATCTGTAGGAGAAATCTGCAGAGGCTGCAGAAGAGGGGACGGAGCCCAGCCTGGTGAATCAGTCAATTGTTTCTTCCTCAATTCTCTGCCAGAGGACAGGGTTAGCAATTTCCTTTCCCATCTCAAGTGAGGCCATCTGCTCTGTTCAGCAGGCAGAAAATCTACCTCCAGAAAAGTATGCATTTCTTTGTGGCTATGGGATGAACCCCACCATTTCACTCCTTGTGAGGATCAATGACCCAGTCCATCCCTTGGGGCTTTCCTTTGGGGAATTTTAACCATGCTTCCAACAGAGTGTGGTGGCACCTACAAGTATCTCAGGAAGTAGAAGCTTGAGTACTGAGGCCAGCCTGGACTACAGAGTAAGTTCAAGGCCAGGCTTACATAGTGAGATCAAGGCTAGCCTCAGTACATAGTGAGACCTTGTCTCAAAACAAGGGTGGAGGATATAGCTCCATAGTAGTGTCTACCCAGCACTTGCAAGGCTCTAGGTTCCACCTACAGCACTGGAAAATCAAAAAGCAACCCCACTACAAACAGATCACCCTACTGTTTATGTCCCCCCAAATTATTGCACTGAAGCCCAACTCCTAAGGTGATGTTATTAGGAGAAGGAAGGAGATTGATTCATGATGTGGAACCTCAGGAATGGGATTGATGTCTTTATGAAAGAGACCCAGGGTGCTTCCTAAAGACTTGACCCTTGTGAGGACCTTGCCAAAAACAGGCATCTATGGAGCCAGGTGTGGTGGTGCACACTTTTAATCCTAATACTTGGGAGGCAGAGGCAAGCAGATCTCTGTGAGTTCAAGGTCAGCCTGGTCTACATGGAGAGTTAGAGGCAGCTAAGACCACACAGTGAGACCTTGTCTCAAAAAATTTTTTTAAGGAAAGACAGAAAAATGTGCCCATGAACATCAAAAGTGAGTCCTTTTGACACCAAGCCTGCCCACACGTTGAACTTGGAGAAATCAGCTCCTGTTGCTAAAGCATGGATTCACCCACTCTCTGGTTCTCTGCCACAGCAGCCTGAAGGGGCCTAGGCAGTGGCAAACACATCTTCGGATGAAACCTCACAGACTTTCAGGGCCTGGAGCTCCTCAGGGAAGAATGTTTCTTAACTGAGCTCTCCCACTTCAAAGCAGGGAACTGGTCTTCCTGAAGTGATGTAAAAAGTGGAAAGCAGGGGGTTGGCGATCTTCTCCTTAGTTCTTTTCAATAAAGAACTAGATTGTACTAAGAGAAGTTTCTAGAAAGTGAGAAGACAGGGAAGTTAAAAACACTGGATTTTTTGGTTTGACAGCCTCTTTTGTTTATATTTTCTTCCATTTCTCATTTATCAAGAAGAAAATCTTTCTTTGGTTCTGACATGCTTTTAACATTTTTGAAAAACACGGCACCTCTCCAAATTTCACTCTTAAATGGAAATCAAACAGGCCCAGGCCCTAAGCCCAGAGCCTTTGATGGGCAGCCCTATTTCTCCATAATTTAATAGCATTGTTTTAATTTCATGGCATTTCTTTTTATGGGCAGCTTTTATCTACAGTAGGTGGTACTGGCTTTCTATTCACAGTGGTGAGTAACTTTCCCACTTGGAGAAATGTATTTTAAGTTTTTGATGCGAGGCGAGCCAAAGACAGATAATAAAGCATACAGCATATGGTCTACAGCTATGGCAAAACCGTCTATGGCTTTCAACAACTGAGGCTGGAAAATAGGATGGGAGGTCAGAGGCCAGCGGCCCAAGCACCGCTCACCAGGCAGATGCCAAGGCTGAAACGGAAAAGATGGCTTAGTGGATGAATCAGAGACTGACTCTGGAAAAGGCCAGGGGACCCGTCCCATGACCGTGAGCAGACAGAAACCTCCTGACATGATAGAGAACAGGCCTAGTGTTGAACTTAGCAAAAGGCCCTGCTCCTGGGTCCAGATGTCTTTCTTCTAAATAAAATGCTGTCCAGTGCATTTGTGTGTTTCCTGTGTGCAATTACTACAGCTGCGGTGGTGGTGGTGGTGGTGGCGGTGGTGGTGGTGGCGGCGGCGGCGGCGGCGGCACTGAGGTGAGAGGCTGGCCAGTGGTGGCAGCTGTTGCTCATTGAGTGTCTGGGCTGGGTTCATCACTTACTGCTGTGCACTTCTCTCTGAACCCTTACAACAGCCTACTCAGTCTCAGCAGCCCTGTCCCATTCCATTGTCTCAGGTTTGGTATTTTCATATATTGGTGAGACATCTTGGGGATGAGACCCAAGTCCAAAGATGAAATTCCCAAATGTTCATTCCCATACACTTTGTGCACACAGCCTGTGGTGGCTAGTGTTAATCACCAACTTCGCAGAACCCGGAATCACCTGAGAGATGGGTTCCAAAGGATGCCTGGGCAGTTATCTTGACGGCACTGATTGAAGAGGGAAGACCTGCCCACTACAGGCGGCCCCGTTCCCTGGGATCCTGGACTGCGTAAGTGGAGGAAGAGAGCTAAGCCGCTGCCTGCTTTCACTGCTCTCTGCTTCTTGACTGTGGATGTCATGTGACCAGCAGCTCAAGCTCCTGCTGCCTTGACTTCCCCGCCATGGTGGACTGTACCTTGAACTGTGAGCCAAAGCAAACCTTTCTCCCTTAAGTTGCTTTTTGTCAGAATGTTTTATCAAAACAACAGGAACAGAAGAAGACATAACTTTTTCAGGATAATTCTACACAAGTACTTAAAAACACTACTGTGCATAAAACTAAGCATGTGTAAACTTCATTATCAGAGGTCAGGCATGGGATTTTCCATTTGTGGCATCATGATAATTCTCAAAAACCTTTAGATTTTGGAGTATTTCAACCTGAAAAGTCAACACAAGTAATACCTGACATTTAAGGACCATACGCATCACTCCAAGACTTCTTCAAGCCACTTCTTTATCCCTTTACTCTTGATAACCATCCCAGAAGGCAAGTATTGTCACTCCCATTTTACAGGTTAGAAAACTGGGGTAGAAAGAAGACTGTGTAGGTGTGATGGATATTCTTGGTTGTCAACTTGACTACATCTGGAACTAAATAAACACCAAGTGGCTGGGTACACCTGTGAGGGATTTTTCTCAATGGAAGTATTTGAAGTGGGAAGACCTACCCTAAATCTGGATCTTCTGAGGGGGGAGGATCCAGTTTGAGCAGGGACCACACCTTTGGCTGGCAGCCTATAAAGGACATGCAAGAAGGAGGTTCTTTCCAGCAAGGTCATTCCTTCGACAGCGTTAGAGCCTACTTCTTCAGAATTCTGGCATATCCTGAAGAACAGCTGAGACACCAGCATTGTGGACTGAACAACTACAGAATTCTTGGACTTCTGTTCAGGAGAAAGCCATTGTTGGAATAGTAGGACCATAACCTGGAAGTCACTCTAATAAATCTGGTTTGTATGTATTATAGATTCAGCCTATTAGTTCTGTTTCTCTAGAGAACACTGACTAATACAGTAGGCTCTGACTGTAAGTGATAGGGTGGATCCCAGTGCTACCATTCTGGCCCCAAAGCCCACACTTGATCACCCCGCTGTATGTAAAGATGGAGCACAGACCTTATCTCTGTCTTACAGAGAACTCACAGCTCCTAAATTGTCAGATCAGTGGAACCACCTCCCAAGTGGATTTCCCAAAGGCAAGTGACTGTATCACTTGAACAGTATCTGCATCTCCATGCCGGCACAGCATCCTTCCTTCAGTCTTTCATCCTTGATGCAGCTGGGAGCTACAGGCCCATGCCCGCCCTCCCACAGGTGGGACAGCTTTAAGGGCTCTGATTGAGCTGTGAGCTCGGGCTGGGGCGGTAGAACTTCTAGTCCATCTCTCTTTTTGCCTCAGCCTCTGCATTTGCCAGATTCAGTTGACTCCTCCAGATTGTGTGGCTGAGTTTATGGGGTTCTAGTGAGGTTCTGAGGAGATGGTGTAGTGAGAAGCTGAACTGAACAGAAGCCCCTCAGAAATGGAACTGGTTGTTTGTTTGTTTGTTTTATATTTTTTGGTTTTTTTGTTTGTTTTGCTTTGCTTTGCACACTGCTCTCGGGTGAGTTTACTTTCAAAGTTGACATTTAAGTTTCAATTTAAATGGACATAACATTGTTACATATTTTAGGGGTACAGCATGATAATTGTCTACATGTATGTGGTGTGTGGTGAAACTAAAAAGTTTGACCCTGTAAAAGCAGGGGGTAGAATGGGGATGTGGTGGTGGCCTCTCTCACCAGGAATGTCTGAGAAGACAAGGGAAGGGAGGAAGTGGGTGGGGTGGGGTTAAGGAGGATTTATGTTATTCAAAGTCTTGGTTCCCCACAGTGGGAAGACACAGCATAACAAAACAGTTCACATCATGGCAGCCAGTACAGTGACCTGCCTCCTCCAGCTAGACTCCGCCTCATAAGTTCCCATTAACTACCTGGACAGCACCAGGGACCAACCCTTCAGTAATATGCCAGCCTTTTCCAGGGAGCTCTTCATAACCAAGCTGTAATCATGAGGGCCAGTCTGGGATGGGCAGAAGGATGGGGAATAGAGAGAGGGTGGGTAGGGGGTCCGCAAACCCAGTTATGTAAGAGGAGGCAGCCCCGGTGTTCAGGAGCACCACGAAGTGACTGTGGCTCACAACCACGGAGGTGTTTCACAGTGACTGAGAGAGAAGAGGCCACAGGCTCTCAACACACAGGAGGACGAAACATTTGAGGAACTGGAGACACTCTCTGGTGAGTTCTTTGAAAGTAAAATTGTTATTAGTTGCGGAGGACAACCATTGGAGAGTCATGCAACAGGACAAGGAAGCAAATAAGAACGGCTCACTCCCCACAACTCAAAGGGCATTGACTGACCCGCCGCACATTTCCTTCTGGATACAGGTATATAATAACTGCTATGGTGAAAATCCAGGGCACTTTGAACAAAGTACAAAATTCTCCCTCCCAACCCCCACCTTCCGGCCACCCCCAGCAGGGTGTCACTGGGTTGATTTGGCTGTCCTGGAACTCACTGTGCAGACCAGGCTGGCCATAGAGATCCTCCTGCCTCCTTTTCTTCATGCTGGGAATAAAGGTATACACTACCATGCCTGACCTACTTTTATTATTTTTTTTAAATTGTGTGTGTGTGTCTGTCTGTCTGTCTGTCTGTCTGCATTCATGCATGTACACACATATAGGTGCCTGTGAAAGTCAGAGGTATTGTATGTCTCAGGAATGGCATCCCAGGCAAGTTATGAAGTCTTTCAACATGGGTGCTGGGAACTGAACTCGGGTCCTTTGCAAGAACTGCATTTGCTCTTAAGTCACTGACCCATCTCTCCAGGCCTATAAAATGGAAAATTCCTACAAACCCCTAACTTGACTGTCAGCCTCTGTGTGACCTGGCCCCTGCCTGCCTCTCCTCTTCTGTCCTGCTCCTCTCCACTCAGCGCTCCAAGTACACAGCTTCTCAAGGCCTTTGTCTCTGCCCCAAATGAAATGCTTTTGCAGACCTTCATGGCTCACTTCCCTCAGTGTGTGCATCTCAATCAAAATGTCAGCTCCTAGGGTCATCTCTTTTGGAAATCACCTTGTTTCATTCTAAGTTTCTGTGTTCATCATCTATTCCCCCCAAGTAGTAAACTTCCTTCCCCGGTTCCCAGAATAGTCCTTGGCACATGAGCACACGCATTAATTATTTAGTAAGTTCATGAATTAGAGTACTGTATTTACAAGCTGAGATCCGGCTCTATTTGATGTTTTGAAACTGAATTTTCTAACTCATTGAGATGCGGTCACATCATCTTTTAGTGGCAGCGTGGATGTGCGATGGCTGTGTCCTAGCATTTAACCACACTGGATGAACATTTCTACTTGTTTGTCTACATTCCCTCTCGTCTTGTAAAGGGGTGCAACATACCTCAGGGAGTCTTCATACACAGTTGTGCCCGCCCCCCACAATTTCCTGTGAGCTGGCCAGAGACTGCAGGATCAAAGGGTTGCAGAGCTTTCATCCACTAGACACATCTTGCCAGAGTGACCAGCAGAAAGCTCTAGGTGTGCTTTAGTGATCCTTCACCTGTGGTCTTCCTAGTAGAGTCCTCGAAGGTGGAGGAATGTCACTATTACCCCTTACCCAGGAAAGCTAACATGGAGGCCATGGGGTGAGGCTGATCAGGCCTCCTTTCTCTGCCAAGGTTTGCATACACTGATCAGCTACAACGTGTGCTATGTGGGGATCTTCTGAGCTGAGAGTGGCCAAGGGGAGAGACGTCACTCCTGCCAGGCCAGGGTTTCTTGGTTGTGGAATCTGTAACTGAAGAGCCTACCTCAGCCACACACGGACTCCATTTCCCTCCCTTTGCTGTCCAGCATTCACCATGGGCTCAGCGAGCTAATCTCCCCTGAATCCCACCCTTAGCAGGTCAAGTACACAGTGCTCAGCCCATTTCATCTTCTTAGAAGCCCCTTCTGTGGTCCAGGCCCCAGGTTGCCCTCCAGCTCAGAACTGTCCTGGTTACCAGGCTCTCGTTGCCATCCAGTTCATATACCATAATAAGCTCCAATTCCCCCTCAGAAGCTTATCTACAGTACCACAGCCAAGACATCTAGGGGACTCAGGGCTGGAATGGAGCCTTCACTGATGAGCTCTGAGCACTGGAGACACCAGAGTCTACCTTCCTGAGCATCACTTTCCCCGTCTACAGAATGGGCCTTATGCTATTTGGGCTGAGAGGATTGCTGTGAGAATTCGGAGCTCCTACGGCACGGTGCACTCATCACGAACGAACGGTGATACCCGTGAGATGGTGCAGCTGAGAAGAACACCTGCTGTGCAAGCCTGTTGACCGGAGCTCCATCCCTCTAGGGGATGAGAACCCATGGTGGAAGGAGGGAACTGACTACCGAAAATTGTCCTTTGACCTCCACACATGTGCTACGGCACGTGTGCACATA